TCTCTCTCTCTCTCTCTCGGTGTGTGTGTGTGTGTGTGTGTGTGTGTCCTCTCTTCCACTTGCTCTGTTCCCTACCAGCGTCTATTCTTTGACCTCATGGTTTTTCTATTCCCTTTCTCTCTTTCCCTTCTTTCCCTCTTTCTCTCTCTGTAACCCCTCTCTCCTCCCCCCTCCCCTTTTCTCTTTCTCTCTCCCTCTCCCCCGTGCTCTCCTGTGGTCCCTGTAACTGTTTCCAGCTCCAAGGTAAATGGACTTGCTTGCAGGATGGCCAGACCTGGCCCATCGCCTGGCCACCCGTTGCCATGGTGTCTCAGATGCGGTGTCAGGCAGCAGCCTTGGCTGTCTGGCAGGCAGGGCATGAAGGGCTCTGATGAAGAGAGAGGCTGGCCCTATTCTTCACAGATCCTGAAGGGCTCACCCCACTGCCAGGGGCTCGCATGGCAGGGGGTTCCCCGTGAATGTGGGTTCCATGCTGGATACTATCAGAGGGGCTTGCCCGAGGGGCCAGTCACACTTGGGGTCAGACTGCCTGTGTGCGGACCCCTCCTGCCCCTTTCTGGGGTCTGCTGGACGTAGGGGGTGAGAGGTGGCAAACAGCTCCAAGGAAGGAAGCTACAGGGAGGCAGCTGTCAGTGGTGGAGGGGCAGGGGTAGCTGGACATGCCTGCGTCTGAGAGGGACCTATCTAGCTGTCCATGAGGCTTCCTCCCACTCCGCAAAGTTAAGGATTTAGAAAATACGGTTTTCCGCTGACAGACAGCTTGCAGTTTCTGCACTGGTGGCGGCACCTCACTCCCTCACAGGCTGCTGGCCTTGAGTATCCAGTAGGACAAGTGCCTGGACCCTGGACTGTGCTGGGAGGAGCTCCTGATACCATCCCTGTTTCCTGCAGAGGATGTGAGGGTCGATGGGGAGGAGAACTTCCCTGAGGGCCCTGCCTGGCATGTGTGGGTAAGGAAGGGCCTGTGCCTGGCACTAATGCCTGGGATGCAGCAATAACTATCCTGCCTGTCAGACAAGAGAGAGGCAGTTACAGCAAAGTACCCAAGCAGACTCAGTCAGCCCTTGAGTTAAACACACTTGGGTTCAAGTCCCAACTCTGCCCTTTACTGGCTGTGTGTGTGTGTGTGTGTGTGTGTGCATGGGTGTGGGTGTGTATGTGTGTACGCGCACACGCGCGTGCACCATACCCTTTCTGAGCCTCTGTTTTCCCATCTGTAAAATGGGAATAACAACAACATTTGACTATTAGGGCTGTGTGAGGATTGAAAGAGAAAAGGCACAGAAAATGCTTAGTACCACACCTGGAACATAGTAAATAATTAAACAAGGGAGCACGATTGTTTTCATTCTCACTTGCATACCTACCCTTTCAGTTTTATAAAGGAGGAAGCTGGGGCCAGAGACATTTAAAAACTTGCTCACGTCCCATCGGTCATAGTTCTGCAACACTCTGTGGGGACAGTGCCCAAACGATGCAGAGAAGCAGAGCTGAGGATGAGGCGACTTTGAATCCCAGTCCCACGCAGCCAGTCCCTGCAGGTTCCGCCTCATTTTCAGGCCCCTGCTGCGCCCGCTCTGCGTGGCAGTGTCTCCCAGGTAACCCCTGTCTTGCTCTGTGCGGGGATCCACTCGGGCTGTCCTGTCCCTGTGGGCAGGCCCTTCGCAGACTCAAGAAGTGCTGGAATAAAAGGAGGGCTGAGCCACTGTGGTTTACACGGCACTTTCCATACATTTCCTCCCATCTCCACATTCTGGTTTCCAGGAGTGAGAAGGCTGCTGGGGGAAAGACAAGTCTGGTCCTGCCCAACTGCTTCGTCATCTCCAGCCTCCCTCACATCTGGCAGCACTTCACAGTTAGTCGGGTGCCCTCAGTTTCG